CTACATCGCACATCACGCGCTGCAACTCGTCCGACGACTCTGCCTTCTTGCCGCGCGACGGGCCTCCTGGGGGGTACCCGGCCAGCCCCCCCCCCCTAGCCCTGCGTCCTAATTTGTGTTCGCTCTATTCACTTCGTGTGAATAGCCTTTATTTTATTATCGGTAGCAACATTTCGTTAAGAATCGTCGCCGGTGGAGGTATTTTCCATAAGTTCCATCTCCCACTTAATTCCATTGTTCAGGTAAAAATGACCGGAAAGCCGACGGATCCGATCAAAATTAATAAATGGGATGGGCCGACTGTGAAAAACACATTGGACGACGCTGTCAAGCAGGTAAAGCTGTAGAAATCAATTAGACATCTTTCGTTTGAAAGCTCAAGTAACCCGCAAACCTCGTTTCATGATACTGTTTAGATATTGAATGACAGAGTTGGATGGAAAGAGTATCACTCACTGATGGACGGCAGACTGCTCATTTCGTTTATTGCTGTTTGTTTCTCTGCAACTGCTATTGTCTACGATTATATCCATCCGTTCCCGAAGTCGAAGATCGTTCTTGCTGTCTGCTCGGTGACATATTTCATCTTGATGGGTGTGCTGCAGTTGTATCAGTGGTACATCGAGAAACGTACTTTTTATCAAGCTGAAGAATCGGACGGCAAACAGAAACGGATATGGAAGTGGAGCTCCGAGTTGAAAACGTGAGTTGTTTTTCATTCCATTATAGGTGGAAGATTACTCGGTCAAGCATAGTTAGAGGAATCGTCGTGCAGGGCGTTCAAGGCATTCCATGGCGAGCATTTTTATGTTCATACTCTCTTAGCTTCACTCTCGCACAGGCGAACAACTAATCTGGAGCTTCATTTCCCGCGAAAAACTGTGTTGTTGTTCCCGTGACCTACTGTGCCGCGATTCCACTTATTTACTTGTCTTGATTACTAGTACTTCCCGTTGTGCAACCCTATGGTTTTCGCTCTCCCTGAAGATGGTGGTTCAAGCAATGTATTAGCAACATTGAGCGAGAAAATGGTCGCGGCAGTATGACTCTCTCTAGCCGAGTTCTCGGCAGGAACCCCTCACCTCCCTTGATCGATGGTTTAATAACGTCGTTGAACATACTACAATTTGACACATTCAACTTCTGCTCCTCCCAGTTCCTCCAAAATCGCCATGAGCCTGGGTGCGAGGCTCCTCTCGTCAATGCAGTCGACCACTTGTCAAGGAATACTCGACCTTTATTGTGGTAGCAAGACTTCATTCTGTTAATGGAAAAACTATGAGAGAAAGCA